TATTAGATATTATTGATTGATAGATTCATTTTTTTTTTTTTTTTTTTAGTTTCTACAATTGTGAAACGAAAGATTAGGTATTTTTGACAATGAAAACATTTCGCATTACGTGTTTAACTGCAGTCTGCACGTTTAACACGCTGCTTTACGTATTTGAATCATCATGAATTGCATAAATTATTTATAATTGTTTAATATAATTTATTAAATATAATATAATAGAGAAGGAGAATTATTGAATGGAAAATGAGCAATCATATTTTTTTTTTCAATCGGTAATTTATTATTCATTATTCTCGACATAATCGTCATCGATTTAATCTTAAATATTCCTAGTGCGAATTGTTAACTTATTCTATATTATAAATATATTATATAATTGTTTACAATTGTCTCATTTGATAACGCTATTCCTGATTGTACATATTGAATTCTACGAATTAAATATGCGAAAATGAACTCACGAGTATTTAAAGAATCACGAACAGGATTCCCCGCACATATGCGATAAAGATAAAGAAAAATAAAAACAAGAAATTATAAAATTCACTGAAAAATACTAAGTATCAAGCATCGTCTGAATAGTCTTTGCGCTTAATTGTGTTGAAAAAAAAGCAAAAATTTTAATTTAGAATGAGTTAAAATAAAATATGTTGAATATTTTTGTTTCAAATTTGGCTATACAATATTAACATTAATAAATTGTTTAACATCAACAGAATTGCTATTCTAAGTCAGCAATATTACGGTAGAAAGTGAAGATCATATGTCATACAGATATGGAAAGTTTTCACGCTTTACACTCGCGTTTAGAAACGCGAGTTGTCGTGCAAAACTAAACTGATGCGAGCACTTGTCTATGATCGAAGGCATTCAGATAAATGTAGCTGGATGTCCTCGACTAATATCGCAAGGATGAACCGCGGTTCTCCCTTCCTCCATAATTGATTGTCTCGTTTTACTCTTTCTTTTTCAATTCCCCACCGCTTACGGCTTTTCGTACCTCCCTCTCTCTGGCGTTCGCCCGTCGACTATTGTCCGCAGCAGGTTTAAAACGCCTTCCCTGCGACTCACTCATCAACGATACGACGAATATCACCATGCGATTCTACTTTTTCTTGATTTCTCGCACCTGGCTGGCAGCCGCCGTCTTTGTTACGCTCGTCTCTCATGGCATTCTGGTATGCATGAATCTCAAATTTTACATGAATTAATATATCTATTTTCATCGAATGTTTCTCAACATAGGCAAATAATTTAAATGTAATAGAATTCTGTTTATCCGAATAGATCGAAGGATAAAACAATTCTGATAATTGAATGATTTGAATAATAGAGTCTCATTGATCTTCTCTCTATCAGTACTTATTAATTCCGATAAGAAAAATGATGTTTAGAAAAAATGAAAATGAACTAGTTCCACCGATGTAAAATTAATTTTAATCTCGGTTTAATTTTCTGTTAATTTTTTTCTAATTCTTCAAATTAGAAAAAGATGAAAAATAATTTGAATCGAAATTGAAGTAAATCGTATATTAGTGGAATCGGACATAAGTCAAGTACGGCGCCATACACTGTGATAATCTATAATAATTTTATTAATTTGTTTAAGTCCAATGCGCAATCGACCGATAGTGAATCAAACAAAAATGTTATCAACGTAGATGTTTACTATGAATCATTATGTAGTGATAGCATGCGATGGATCGTAAATCAACTCGTACCATCATATCTGGAATTGAAACGTCGTATCCATGTCACATTGGTTCCTTTCGGTAAGGCTACGGTAAGTACAATAATTTCATAATTGCGTTTCTCTTTTTGTGATTATTTTATCGTTTTAATGAGAGTCTTGATAATGAAAATAAAAATTAAAGTGTAAGAGGTCTAGAATGACAGAATCCTAAACAAAGCTTCAAGGAGGCGAAAATTGAGACAATGAAATGTAAAAAAGGCATTTATACTTTTATTGTCACAATTTTCGCCAGGAATTATAACAAGGCGATAGGCGATTGGCATGGACAATCACATGAAAATATAAAATACTTTGTATCCGTGTCTCAATATTCATTTAATTTGCTATATAATGTTATATGTCTATAAATTTGTTGACCCTTCGAAGCTAATGTCAAAATGTGTAACAGTTACACTACTTACATATAATATTACTTATTTTATTATTTTTACTCATTATTTATTTTGAATATTAAAAACATTGTTGTTCTTTTAATAAAAGATAATTTTCGATATTAAATTAAAATAGATTGAAGTAGTTGCTGACGCTATATATATCAGTGAAACTCATTCAATTTGTGATTAGAAAATACTAATTAATTTTAAGGAAAATGATATAGATATCCTTACAGAAATTCAATGTAATGTTGGCCACTTTTAATATTTAAAATTATTTAGTTGAATATTAAAAGAACAAGTGTTTTTTAATACTCAAACTAAGTAATTAATCATTATTTTTCAATATTAAATTTCTATAAGAGTAATTTGTATAAAAAAAATAAATACTAAGTTTATTTTAAGAACAATAATTTAATAAAATCTAATTTTTAGATGTAATCTAAAGAATATAATTAAGTGGGTTCAATAGACTCACCTAGCTACGGAGGATTAATTAACATAGAGTTCCTTAATCTTTATATATTTACATATTTATCTACTGGTTTTTCTATTAAATATTTCTCTCGAAAGGAATTAATGAATCGGATCGTAAGACATCCGTTTGAAACTATAGCCTTGAAAACGCAGAATTGTCCTCGCAGTAGTCTTCGGTATTCTTATCCACGTCGATCATGAGGAAAATGTTATTATTTTAAACGATTAAAATGCAAATTGATGACGTATGTGTCTGTAGCACCATCGCGAAAGCGAAACCGGTCCGTGGCAGTTCTCGTGTCAACATGGACCCAGTGAATGCCGTGGGAATAAGGCCCAGGCGTGTGCGATTCACGCTATACAGTCCTCCGAGGCAACCGAGAACCACCAACCATTGATGGTCAATCTGGTCGGTTGTGCAATGCTCGCTGGTACCCCGGGGACTGCTGTTCCACAGGTAGCTTTACTCCTATATAATTTCCTAGCTACGATTAGTCGCTAGTCGATGCGGCCGCTGTATGATTGCCCTGGCGAACATGCCTTTATCGAATGTAACGTGTAATTAATTTTCCAACGACTTGCATCGATGAGTAAGAGTCGACGTTTAACGTCGACCTTTTGGCATACTTTCTCATTGAATTCACGCGACAGCGTGCGCGGTGCATTTGACGAAACGTCACTTGGGTTGCATTTGTTTAAAATGAAAAAATGAGCATTGCATTTTGAAGAGATAAAAGATATTTTATCATTGAATAAAATACCATCGAGATGTACTTATTCTTACTTTAATACTGAAAGGTATGATGATTTATTACTTATTTTGAATAGTAAAGTAAATAGTCATCTATCTTTCAGTATTAAATTGAATTTCTGTAAGAATAATTGAGAGAGAAATCAGAATTATTTATCTAACAGTAAAATATATTTTTTTGTCTCGTGACGTGAAACAACCTAAATGACGTAAGGATACTTGAAAAGCATTGCAAGCAGAAAATAAAATAATTATCAAAATGACGCCAAAATGGTTCTAAAACAATTATTATTAGCCCTTTGAAATCCACAAAGGATTAAAATTACTTTTCGATTATGTCCTAATTGTTCTTGAGACATTTCAGTGTTCGAATGAGTTTAAATTATCATTGGACATTTTTATTCGGGCACAATTTTTTTCACGCGCATAAAACATCAGATTGACTTCTATAGATAAGCTAATTCTCGCCGATAATACACGTTACATTTAATATCTGTCGGTTATTAGATAACATAATTGCTGACTCATTTCGCTATGTTTTCACGTCGCATCACGTTCATAAAATTGCGAAAGTATGTACAATGCAAAAATTCCTCGCTGATAAATACGGCCATTTGAGATATAAGATAATAACGATAAACATGAACATGCTTTAATATGAACTATAATAACGCGATAAATAAATTTTTAGTGCGCTCAAGCTGTTGGCCTAAGTACAGAAACACGAAAGTTGATCGACGATTGCATCGCGAGCCCGCTGGCAGACAATTTGCTTGCAGCGAACGGCGACAAAACGGAGGCCCTGCAATCACCTTTGAGATTCGTGCCGACGATAGTGATTAATGGGGTAAGCATAGAATCTTATTAAATCTGCAATGACTAATTAAAAATGACACACTGAAAGAAAAAAAGTTGCATTTATTTTAATTTAACTACAATTTTCGATGCCAGCTGTACACGTATCTTTTATTTATACATATATATTTTTTTAGTAGAATTATATAATTATTATTACTAACATTACAACATTCTAATAACTGTTAAGCCAGATAGTCAAGTCTGCAGAGATTTTGAGCAGAGTATGCTACAAATTTTTGATAGCAAAAAAGCAACAAATTTCGCACAAAGTATCTAATATCTGTAATATCTGACGATGTTAACAGACTACCGCCAGATAATAGGACAAAGTCTAATGACATATTTTGTCAGTGGATTGGGAGAAACTGAGCAAGATTTACAGCTCTAGTTTTTTGGTATCAATCTGTTAGCACAGTCAGCAACTCTGTCGATAGATTCTGAGATTAATGCGGACACTGGCTATGAATGTGGAAATCTGATCAAATTTGCTGTCAATCTACCAACAAACTAGCTAGTATTTTGTTATCTGGACATAAAAATGAAGCTCATAATCATAATTATTTTATCGTACAATTATTGTAGGTATACTCAAAGGAAAATCAAGACGAGGCGATAAGAAACTTCCCTAAACTAATCTGTCGACATTTAACGGCGGAGAAGCCGAGCATCTGCAGCAGCGAGAGTGCCGAGAATTAAAAAGGGATAGGACCAAGCTAAGCATCAAAGGTGTGGAGACGAATAAACATTTGCTCGAAATAAATGATATATTTTGTTTATCTATAATATACATAAGTACCTATGTACAAAAATATATACGATTTGTCAAGTACAACGAACTAATGAGTATAAAATTGATCATAAAAAGAGAGAAACGAAACAATGAGATCGCAGGATGAACGCGTCAATGATCAACGAATCATCCACGCTTCCTTTTTTCCTAAGAAAAAACACGTACATTATATAAAGAGCAACGTAATTTCTTTTTAAAAGAAATCTAAGTATTCTCGGGATTAGCGATTAATTACGTAGCCACAAATTAAAATAACTGTGTTTGAACTATTCGAAAACGCGATTCTTAACCCTCCGAACTAACGCTAGAATCTGTAACACAATTACTTCTATAAGAATCATTTAATTTATATTAAAATTAAAAAACACTAATTAATTTCAAAGAACCAAACTGACATAACTCTCTTTACAGAAATTTAATACTGTAAAGTATTAAATTGGTCAGTGACTTATTTTAAATATTAAAATTATTATTGTCAGTTATTTTAATATTCAAAATAAATAATTAATCACTAAGTGATTTAATACTTGTAGAATTAAATTTCTCTAAAGATCGTGTAAAAAAGAATGAATAATACATTTTATTAGAAAAATTATTCAATTATTATTCAAACAAATATTAAGTATCTTTTTTTAGCATATAAATGCTTTGAAGCATTCTTCAATTGGCCAATTCTTAAAATTTTTTCTTTTGATTGGTCAATCAAATGCTTCAAAAGTATTTATAGTGAGACTTTGACCGTACTCTGAGTGAGCCCAATAAACCTACCGTCAGTTCCAAAGGATTAATCGAATCGAGGTGCGAGTTCAATCATGTCTTATTAAATTATATTCCGTTCATTCACCGACGCATCGCGTCCTGTTTCACCTTCGTCGAAGATGGGATTCTTCTGCTGAAAAAGACTCATCCGATGAAGATAGCGTCGTTCAAAGCACTCAGCTCGTGAAACTGTCGCTCGATGTCAGCGTCTAACTCGTGGAAATCTGGCACATCCTCTGCAGTCACGCAGAATCCTGTAACGAGCGACTCGGTGACAATAATCTTCAGCAGAAGTAAGAAACGTTTTACGTCAATTGAATTATACTTTAGATCTAGAGAAGTAAGTTCTATCTGAGCGAAGAAAACTTCCAACATTTGCAGAATAAACATTTTGCTAAATGTGGCCGATGCTTTGCTCTCATTCTTTCTTTGCTCTCTCTCTCTCTCTCTCTCTCTCTCTCTCTCTCTCTCTCTCTCTCTGTCTCTCGTTGTCACCATTTGATCTCGCGCGCGCGTTTTTATATACTTTCACGAAATTACGCGAGGGCTCCTTTAGAAATAGCACGGGTGCGTGGCACGTGGCGCGCGACAAAACAGAGTTTTGTCATCTGTTTTGTCACGCGTACGCATCCGCGCGTTCTCGCCGTACGCGGCGTATGCCTTCCCCCTCAAAAAAGTAAAGAATATTATTTTAAGACTCTGTATGGGGTAAAGGCATAAAGGAGTGAACCTCCTCTGAGATCAAGCCATAGACGACCGGGAACGACACTGTCATCAGCGCGATGCGCGAGCTGCATCAGAAAAGTCAGAAAAAGCCAGCACGCGCCCGCGAGATGCGTGCACGCACGCACGTTGGCATAAAACAAATTCAGAATCTGCGAAATTACACGCTATCTCAATGAAAAAAATTCTCGTAATATCTCGTAATATTTTTAAGAATTTGTCATACTTCACATTTACATAAAAAGATTCTTAAAGTAAATAAAAGATAATTTACAAGCAAATGTCATAAATTAATTTTTTAGTTAAAACTTTAAATGATCAATAATGATTAATAAGGTACTGCATAATATTTTTAGCTGTAAGTAGAATTCAAGAATAAAGAGAGATAATCAGGAGACAATAGCATCTTGCATTACGTATGTATGGAAGATGTTACCGTGTATTTTTTCGAGAGATAATTAGCCATGTCTCTCTTTCTAAGAATTCATACAAATGATCAGAAACAACTATAAATACAAAGATTTCTGAAAATAAATTATCTTTTTTAGTTATCGCGATTCTGATTCATTAAATATGATTAGTTCCATGATTAGTTCAATCTATTTCGTAAGTGCTATTTTCGCAAAGAGTAGCTGTAATAAATCTCGTAAACAGAAAAACAAGGTCTTACTCTATTGGCAACAAAAGTTAAAGGTCATGCTATATCTTAACTACGGAACTATTGCGTGGATATGTAAAAACTGTAATGTAAGCAAATAAAATAAGTAACGAGTATCTTATCGCATTTCGGCCAGATTTTCCTATATCGAAAATGCTAACTGAAAACGTAAATCATGTTGAGAGAATTAAAGCCATATAATCACGATAATGAGAGAGCAATACTTTCGACCGAAAAGATAATATAACAATTAATATACCATAAAGCCCAAAAAATAAAGAAATGAGGTAATTAGAATGATTTTGATTGATATTTATTTATTAAAATCGTTCTTAACATATTTTATAGTTATAAAAATTTAATAAATATATAATATTTAGTATCTGTTTGATAAAAGCGTGAATGACATAACTTTCAACATATCTTTCTTATCATGGTCCGGCAAATTATCAACGGTATTTGTTATTTCATATCGCTTTTTCCACTTGTTTATAAACGTCTTAAATTTTTTTACAGCCGCTTTTTATGATATTTCGAATGCGAAGGAAAGCTTCGAATCTTTCAACATACGCGACATTGATCGTTAAATACATCATTCTTTAGTAAAATCGGACAATAACTAAAGCCCATCTCATATTATACACTGAGGATTAGAGATTTAAAGGCTTGTTCTTTTTAGCTTGTTCTTTTTAGCTTGTTCTTTTTAGCGTGAATTTCTTGCACGATTCATCTTTTCTCTTTTTCTCTCTACGTGGAAAAAAAAGAAAGAAAAATTAACCATACAAGAACTTTAACTAAAAGAACAGACTTTAAAATTCGATCAATTAGGTAATTATAATTTTTATTTATTTCGTTCTGATTGACTGAATTCTAATCTTCAATCTAAAAATTTGACAAAATTTACAGCAATTAAATCGATTGAATACATTCATTACCTGTATTCTCGTTCTGTACATTAGTAATGTCGTTGATTAGAAGATGACGATGATTGCCGTCGAAATTCAGGGAGATTCTGTTCAGCTGACATGTATTGTCCGGCAACGTATTCTCCTCTTTGACGTAAGTTTTAGATAATTTGTATGACGAATGATTCGTTTCCATGTCGAGGATGCACGCGTCTTGATTTCTTCGGTGAGAAATTGTCGAATTTAATTTGTGGCCTATCGCACCGGCTGTTACGTCAATCATTGGTATCTTATTCGATGATAACAGATTGGATAATGTACTCGAATTCTCTGTGTGATTCTTCAGATGCTTCCTAAGACTCGACGGATCCGTGTAACGTTTACCGCAGCCGCTTATCTGGCAAGCGTATGGTTTCTAGAAGAGCAAACTAACGTTATCATCATTATTTTTCTGTCAAAGAAGATTGAATTATCAAAAATACAAAACTTATACCGTAAAGCTTTACATAATTAATTATATTCAATATTTTCTACTTGCTATTTGTAGATACTTACACAGATAGTTAAATCTTTTTCATATAAACATTGTAAATGTCTCATCTCCGCAAATAAACTGATATCATTTTGACAAAATGACGTTATTTGACGTCAAAATAACAAATAATATTAGTTTCTTTGCTGAATATTTTTAATTAATATTCAGAAATATTTTCTATTTTGAATCTGATCAGTTTTCAGTATTAAACTCAGCAAAAATTGCAACGCTATTAGATATATTGTACACACACACACACACACACACACACACACACACACACACGCGCGCGCGCGTGTGTGCGTGTATATTATATTTGGTACAGTTACCTTATTATAAATATTTATAACTTGTACCTACTATAAAGTTTATAATTAATTTTTCTAGAATATCGAATATCGAATATCGAATATCGAGCTGTAATACGTGCCATAAAACAATATATATCGGTACAGCTTTCCGTGGAAGATCATATTAAATCAACAACTAAATAAAATAATATATAATAAATAAATATAAAAAATAATAAGAAATTTTAGAGAAGAAATTTAAATTGCAATTTATCGATTTTTTAATGCATGAAAAGTAAGAAAGCTATCATACTCTATCATAATGCGTTCTCTGATGCTTGGCCCGATCACTGCTATTGCTAAATGCCTTTGAGCATCCATTGTGTTGACACGCGTAAGGCCTTTCGCCTGTATGCGATCTCTGGTGGATCTTTAAATTTTCCAAACGACTAAAGGCTTTCTTGCAGCCAGCAAACTGAAACAAAAAGCAATAGTAAGAAATTAATGCTTTGTTGAAAGACGATAAAAAAATTAAGTTTTTGATAATGGAAAACAACTAGTACATAATTTTTTAGAATTTTTATATAAATTTAAGAATTTCTGTACTGTTTTGTAACTTTTTAGAAAAATTTTCAGATTTTTTTATACGAACTGAAACTTTTCAAAAATGAAAAAGTCTATTATATACTTTTCATATTCTTTATATAAACTTAGAAATATCATATTTTAAGATTTTTCATTTTATAAATTCTAAAAAAACTTATGACATTTATAAAATTTAAAGTATTCTTTCAAAAATCTTCATAAATTTAAAATATTCTTCAAGATAAATGTTAGATCACAAAAATCATTAATTTACAATCGTCGAAAGGTTACAAGGAGACAAGGACTAACCGGACATTTATTCGGCTTCTCTTGCGTGTGTACCCGCATATGAATTAGCAATTTGTATCTCGCGTTGAACGGTCGAGCGCGTGGACATCCTTGCCATAGACAAGCGAACTCGTCCTCGCGGCTCGTCGTCATCGTCGTCGTCGTCGTCGTCGCGGCCGTCCCAGGGAAACTCTCTCCCGCCTCCTTGCCATCTCGCTCTTTGTCCCGATCCCGTTGGATCCGTCTGCCGTGGCCGTGCGCATTCGTCGAGGACGATTCCACGTGCCGCCTCTCGATATGTCGCACCAGGCCCTCTTGCTCCGTAAATGCACAGCCGCAGTCGATCCAGCGGCATTGATAAGCCAACGTGAGGCTATCATCCACTGGTCTCGCGCAATCTGTAACGTGACGTATGCACGCGAAACGTAAACACGCGCAACTGGAGCAGAAATTGCATGCGCCCAAAGAATTGCTACATGTAATATATTCGGATCGTTGCGTTTAAGGCGCGGCAAGTCTAATGGCACTAAAAATATTGGAAGCTTAGACAACACAAAGTCTAAAATTGGGACATAAGATGTCTTTAAAATGATTCTCTTCAAGACGTCTCCAAGCAGAACAATAAGTTACGATAATGTCAAAATGACATTAAAATGAATCGAAAATGATTGAAAAATGACTTTTAATAATCATTTTAGAGTCATCTTTTAACATCATTTTGATATCATAATGACGTGTTGTTCTGCTTGGATCTTACCCGGGTAGAATCATAATTAAGTTGTAATGGTATCATAGGACGTCATCATGACGTTATTTGTCAATTAAAAAAAAACTTATATAAGTGATAAATAAAGTTATGATGACGTTCTTATGATGTTATTGTGACTTATGTGTTCTACTTGAAGATGCTCCGATTTTGGACTTTATCTGAGAAGTCATTAATTTTGCAAGGATGACGGAAATATTTGGAACACACACGGAAAGAACATTTTGTTAAAATATTTAAAAATTTAGATGAATAATATAGACCTGAAAATAATTTGTTGAACCATCGAAATAATTATGTATGAAACTTGAACTTGATAAGCAACTGCAACAAGTTTAACTAGCAACTATTCTAAACATAATTATTTCGATTGTCCAACATAAAATTATTTTCATATTCATGTATATTTATTTTCTAAAAAATTTTTAGAGTAAAATCTAATTCTAAAGAGTGTCAAAGAATGACAATTGAGTATTGGAAAAGAATGATTCAATTGTCAATTTTTAAGAATGAGCTTTCATTCTTTCAAATTGGATTCCACTCCAAAGATTTTAGAGAATAGCTAAATTTTTAGATTGAGCAAACCATTCTTTTCATATAGAAATAAGAATTTATGTACTGTATTTATGTACTTTTTCGTTTTAATGCCTCTTTATTAATTTATTAAAAATCACAAATAAGTCCTGACGAAACGAGATCGTGAAAGACTAGATTTCTCTAAAGTAAATAAAGACAATGCACTGCGTACTTACCATAAGATTTGTCATTTTTCCCGGTCTCAGCAATCTTCGATCTGGTGACCCGTCGGTTATTCCCGAGCAGCAGGCCCTCGTTCCGCGGCAGAATCACTTGATTGCCGAAATTGTCCATCGCGCCAACGAGTTCACCATCGAGATTGATCGTCGTCGATTGTTGCTGCGAGGAAACGAGATGTCCAACCGCGTAATACGGCGGATTAAAGCTCTGGAATGGTTCCTGCTGTTCATCGCTCGCGAGACAAGTCGTGGATGATGACGGTGGCGAGTCCACGTTGCTCAACAACGATGTTGGGTCACCTCTGATCAAACTAAGATCAAACTCGTCGGCGATCGAGGGACTGTAGTTCTGAACCGTAACATCATTTTGAATGCTCATCAACAGCGACACCATGTCTTCTTGGCAGTCGGGATAATCCTGATAATCACCCTGCGACTCTGCTCCGTATTCCGAAAAAATCGTGTTGTTGAAGGTACGCGAGAAGGAAAAGGCCGAACCCATCGATGGTAATTTCCGGCAGTCTGATGACTTATCCTCATGATCCCCGTCGTCGCCGTCGTCGCCGTCGTCGCCGTCGTCGCCGTCGTCGCCGCCGTCGTCGTCGTCGTCGCTGTCACCGCGTTGCTCCAAGTCGGCGTGATTGCCTCGCTGCAGGTGCTACCAGCCGGCGATCCACCGCCATTGGAGGGATATTGAAAGACAACGGGTACCTGGTCCCAGTCGAGATAATCTCGCGGATCCGTGTCGATTTCCAACGGGGAGAAGAGCACGCTGTTGTCCGTCATTTGCGAGGTCGTCCAACAATACGGTTGGACGACGTCAATGCCTATGCCGGTCATCGCCATGGACATCAGATCGGGCAGGGAACCGTCGTCGACGAAGTCGTCTTGCTCCAGAACGGGGCGTCGCATGTCCTCCTCGCTCCGCTCGCCGTGATAATCCTCGAGGTGCATCTCCTCCGCCTCCTCCTCCTCTTCCTCCGTCGTCGTCGTCGTCCTCGTCGATCCGAGCTCGTCGCCGGCAGCCTGCCGTCAATCATAGCGATATGTGGCGTTAGTGAATTGCAGCACGCTCGATGGAATTGCGAAACCGCCGGATTTTGTAACGTCGTCCGACGCACGGCGTGGATTAAGAAAGTTACGAGAACCGCTTTTCAACGCCTTATCCGACATCGTGCACTTTGTGCCCGACCGACTATTATCGCGGGGCTTGTCACTGCGTAAAACGCGAGATAACGCGATCTGAGTCTTCGGGAACATCGATGATGATAATGGAGCAAATTTACTATAATACTCGTGACATTGGCGAATTGTCGAGCAATTCCGAGCCGAGTTTCTACATCGGCGTTTCTCATTATTCGGTTGTCCTGTCGTGAAGATTCTCTTGGATCTTGCTAAAGATTCATCCGACTCGTTTTTGTGAAGCCGACATTCGCGAAGTTATGTGGCTCTTTCTGCGCGTCACGATCTAACTTGATAATAAATGCGCGCGTTTATATAATTCCCGATAGACCCGTGATTTAATAGTGAGAAATTGATTAAAGCGGGAAACGTATATTCCGCTTTTGTTTATTGTTGTGATTTAATAATGTGTCGGATAATTAAATGTACTTAACAGAAATTGAATTCAATACTGGAGCGTGAGCGTGGCATGGCAAACAGTGCACTGGTCTATCATGCCAGAGGTCCCAGGTTTGATCTCAAAAAACGTGTCAGATTCCTACCTGGGTGTTCTCCAGATATCATGTCATCCTTGTTTATTCGGTAAATAATAAGGATAGAATGATATCTGGATGGCATTCGGGTGAGAATCTGAACATAGCTTAGTAGGGACCAAAATATTTACGCTCGTGTCTCCTCTCAGAAAAGGCCGGCAACCTCCCGAGAATATTCTTGCTCACAGAAACACCTCTCGAAAAATTGATTGGAAATTGGCATTGAAACTGTAGATATGTTTGTGGCAATTGAATAATCAATGTGCGTACCACAAGCATATGAGAGAGGTGTAACACAGGCCAGAGGCCTAATGTAAGAAAAAGAAGAGAAAAAGAATTCAATATACTGAAAGAATAATTATCCAATAAATATAAACTAAAAGTGACATGACATCAATATTAATCTCAAACTAATAATTATCCAATCGACAATTGAAAATGGGTTGCTTTCAATATTACAATTTCACACTCAACAATATATTACATACATTTATATGTTGAATTGCGGAATTATATAACATTGAGGTCAACTTACTTTCAATTGATCGATTGGATAATTATTTTTATTAGTTTAAAGTTAAAAGAGCATTGAACAAATAGTGCTTTTAATACTCAAAATAAATGAATGAATCATTATTTTACAGTATTAAATTTCCATAAATATCATTTATTTATATGGTAAAAAATTTGAGAAAAAACCTCTGCACGCAGATAAAATCTACTTTAGTTAAGTAGATTTCATTTCAGAAGTCTAGATCGACAACCTTACTTAAAGATATCGTAAGCAGTAAGCCGTAAGAAATTGACCAATCACAGTCGATTATTTTTTTCATATTCGATTGTGATAGTCAATTTCTTATAGCTTACAGCTTAAAACTTTTCTATAGAATGTACATTAATTATGTACATTAATTATGTCGCAGATCTAAAATCATTGCGATCGTTTCTATCAATACGAAAAACACCTCTCACGATTGTGATCGAAAATGACTTATGTCCATTTTTACTATTTTAGATTAATTTTGATCTCGATTTAATTTACTTTTTATCTTCTTCTATATGCCGGATACAGGCCTTACTCGATTTACTTTCAGTCAATCGCACAAGATAGAAATAACATCTCACTTGCCTGTCTCAATCGCGTTCTCTAAAAAATCAACCCTCTCCGAGGCGGACCATCCTCTAATCCGATGGGAAATATCATCAGAGGGAAATGAGGCGCGATCGTACAGAAGCACGACAACGAGACATCTTTCCTCTCATTAAAAAATTGTGTCATTAATCGCTGCCAAGTCTTAAGCACTATTTAATCCCACGCATTAAATCGCACGCGTTAAACTTCGTCGCGCGAAACAGGAAGACGACCGATTGTGCCTCACTTTCCTCCGGGAGTCTACAGGAGTCAGAGATAGCGTTAAATTTTAAGAATAATATCAGAGGAGCGGCTTACTTCGATATCAACGTATCAACACGTACACGATGATCGACGAGCCGCTTATCGCGCCGGTCTTTTCCGCTCGACAGCTCTCTTTCTCTCTCTCTCTCTCTCTCTCTCCCTCTCTATATATTTATCTGCTTCCACGCGTGGCACGCGCTCGATAACGATCGCAAGAAACAAAAACAACACCGATTTCTTCTCGCGGAACTGATAAAGCGGGATATCAGGATGCTTTCGCACCATCCGTTAACGCGTCTCGTCGAAGACTATCAGCTTCGACGACAATTCTTTCCTCCGTCGGAAGAAATCTCTCGGAGAACCGAAAGAGGATCAAGGGATCTCCCACCCTCCACCTCCTCCTCTTCCTCCTCCTCTAATGAAGTGCGTAGCCCTTCGAGATCGTGCTCTAGGCTCCTCTTCTTGGAAAACGGAGGACGGAAGGACGCGAGAAGGGAACGTCGCGCCGCCCACTCGCGTGGCTGCATGATGCTGCATGATGCTGCATGATGCTGCATCACGTAGCCGACCTCCCTCCCGTGCCCTTTCACGGTACACGGCCACAACCGCCGTTACACTTGTCGCGGGGGTACGCGGCTTTCCCTCTTTGCGGGAACCCCCCGAGGGTGGCGACCGAACATCTGCCAAGGCGTGTAAATACGCGCGTTCGCCGACCTCGCAGCGACGATCCTTCCACGCGCGAATCATTCATGATTTCGTTTCTGTGACTAAAGATGTGCGATTTACAAAATTATGCATTGTAATTGCGGATCTTCTTCAAAAATCCATATCGCGCCCCCCGATTTTTATTCTTATATTTTAAATACTAAAGGCTCTATTTTTTATAATTTAATCAATATAAGGACTCTTGATGTCAAATTAATAATATAACAGAAAAGGACATATAAGAGTCATATAAATGTATTTTTTATATTTTAAATATTGTGTTTCGTCTTTGGTTAAACTACGTGATAATTCATTTAATGGATAAACAAAAAAGTAAAAGAATAAGAGAGTAAGAGAGTAAGCACTGAAGTTTATTAATAGAAGAATGAAACTCAGCCTAAAGCCATTGTGTATAAACATGTACATATAATATTTATTTACAACATGAAAAAATGATATACATTTATTCCGTATCTCCATAAATAGGAATTTGTGTATACGTTCATAATTTTAAGTTTATTTTCTTAGTTCTACATAGAACGAATGGTTTTGCTGAAGTATCTAAAAATTTAATTAGATACAGATCTGATAATAATTTGATTCTTTATTATATCATTTACTAAATGTCTAATATATTTTAACAAAAATATATGTGTATTATTATGCAGAATAAAATTATTGCTTTTCACAACTGATTACTGTTAGCATTTTTGGCGATTTATTGAATTAGAATTTGGAATAGAATTCTATTTGTGATTTCACACGTTATTTAATGTGAAGATGGCCATTGCCTATTGTTGTCTCTACCGTTATTATATCTATCGCCTGCTCTAATTTTTTGTTTTTTAATATGTATTACTAACTTAATATGTATTACTACCGACCACTTACAATGATTTCTTTTATTTTGGTGTTTATCGTCTATCATTTTATATCTTAAATTGGATTTAAGATATTGGATAATGGCTAGATAGATTAGATCGCTCTGGGCGATAATCTCACTATTCTTTATTTATATTGTTATCTAATGTATTGAGTTGAAACAAAAAATTCGTAGTGCTACGAACTTTAAATTCAAGCAACTGTAACTTTGTTAAAAATGAATGAAATAGAAATTTAAAAAAAAGGTTTTAAAGTTTAACATTTTTACTTCCACTGTGTCTTTTAAGTTTAGTAATTACTCGACAAGTTGAACAAAATGTCTAGTGCATCCAAAATTTTAAATTATTATAACATATCTCTGCTTTTAATTAACGTAATTAAACGATGATTTTTTCCATTTTAAATATTGAAATCAGAGAAATAAAATTATATAAATGATGATAAATTATTAAAATGATATAAAGTTGTAAAAAATATTTGTTATAATTTATAAACAATATTTCAAAACTTTTGACATATTATTGAAAAAAATGTTTGAGTTTACAAAATCCACGAATATCAATTATGATAGAATTAAAATAAATGGTCGACACTAATTTATTTTCGACCATGCGTTGCTAGTGTTAAATTGATACACATGATTCATCGCATCGAAAATTGTTTGAAAAAGTATCTAAGACAGCTATAAGTGAGAGAGAAATGGAGGAGGAGAACACAATAGAGAAGGACAAGAAGCGAAATGGAAAGAATGGAAGAGGGAGAAGCGCGCTCGAGATGATCTTTCGTCGCTCGAGTCCCTAAGAATCGGGTGCGGAGCAAAAAAATGTAAGACCAGCTGCCACACACGCGTCACTTATTAACAACATGCTTCCATGGGCTCGCCACATGAGGACAAGTCGTTCACTCCTCGCTCTGCTATCTTACAGCTAGACTACCCTTATTCACTATCTTCTCACCTCGTCGCGATCGTCTCGATTCTTTACGATTCTTGCCAGGACATCACACCTCGAAGAATCTTCGAAGACTAAAAATTGTCTCCGAGATCGTCCTGTCGTTTTTTTCTTGCGTTATCTGAGATCCTTAAGAAAATATCCCCGAGAAACCGCGTTTTTATGACACACGGGGCGGTGACCTCTTAATATTTAGCAGTCGGTGACACTCGAGCTAATTGTAAGTGTGAAATTTTGTAGCCTTGCTATAAGTTTAAAACACCTGCACGAATTACTGCAAACATTCTACACTGTTAAATTTATAATGTCAAATTATAACTATATCCAAATTGAGTTATTTTTAATTCATTTTTGTAGGTCGTCTAATCAATATGTCGTTAATTTAACTAAAATAATAGAGTTGAATTTAACTCAAGAAACTATCAAATTTAACTCAAATTTAATTTATTTATATTTACAAACAATAAATACGAACTTTAAAATCGACGTTGTTTATTTTGAAACTAACAGAAATGGATTGATTTACATTTTAACAGGTATTTTTCACATGGAAGTTAAAAATAACAAAACATTGTTTTTTTAACTCAAAGGATTGAGTTTTCATTATGTTTTGATATCCAATAGTGTATATTTAACGAAAAAAAAAAAACAAAAACAAATTAAAACCAGTTATTGAAAAAATAAACTATAAAAACGACTTTAAAAAATAATTATTATTTTTATAATAATTTTATTTATCATTTAGCTTTACTTTGGCTTTACTCTCTTTTCCAAGAAAATGTAACAAATTGATGGTGTTTTAAACTTATGATCAAAGCTGTAATTTAATTTAAGATCTTAAGAGAAAGAAATTTGGTTTTAGTGTAGAACCAGATGGAGCATCTTCGTTTTATACTTTTCATCAAATTTCACACTTCTCTTCTATGTTACAATATGTTATTTGGTTATTCTCTATTTCTCTTTCCATATGTGTGGTACTCATGGACGGGATCTTTGGAGCTCCGTTCATCTCGGCGCTTCTCCCTCACGCGGAAAATTATGAGCTCGCGATGCATTATCGGAGTATGCGTCCGTACATGCACGTCCTGGTGCATCTCTCTGGACGAGTTAGTATACATCGTATTACGGGTAGATAAGTGATAGAGTGGCACATGTGGTCTGCCAGCCCTCTGTGCTTACATTACATGCACACTACGACCGTTCGCGGTCTTGGCTTTTTTGCTCAGGCACCTGTCAGCTTTGCTCGTACCATAGTCGCCGCATGTGCGTACGCGGCTCTAAAAGAGAGAAAAAGAGAGAGAGAGAGAGAGAGAGAGAGAGAGAGAGAGAGAGAAAGATCGCCCTCAAAATAAATATACCGTAAAAAGGACACTGATCATGTTCTCATCCTTTCATACGGATGCAATAACAGCGAAATGAGTAAAAAAAGAAGAGAAAAATTATCCCGAATGGGTTTTAATCGCGCCTCGCACAAAAACGGCCGCCCCGCACGCGTAATCTCCGAAAAATGATCGTATTGAGACCGAAAAGATTGAATAAACATGCACGAACATGCGCGTTAAGCCCACGTTGTAGAAGATATCAATGACCCGCGACACGTTAATGGTATTTATTTTTCACTCAGACGGGGAAAGCTTCACGATTTAACAACAGAATAATTTACGTGAAATTACCCAGACGACAAAAGTCCAAAATCGGGATATAGGACGGCTTAACATTTTGCGATTCGTGTATTCATTACATTATTGCATCATTTGAATGAAAATTATGCATTGGGAAAAATCTGATTGTATTAATTGGAAATTTCTAATTTCTAATTAAATCTATTATAATTCGTATAGTTAACAGAATTCTAATTGATATAATCAGAATCTTCGTCCATTTTCAACCAGAAATTTTTTTCAGTGCTATGTCGCTATAATACAAATTGAGCTGTATCTTTTTTTACTGTAAACACGCCGATATAAATGTACCTATTGAAGTTTTTATTTGTAGTTTTTATCTATAAACAACTACATGCAATAATAGTATTTATGAATATTGATGTTCTTACACAATTTCATTATTATCGGTGGACTATAAAAAAATTAGATATTTTTGCAAAAACCGTTTTTTGTAAAAACGTCGATTTTGGATTTTGTTTGAGTAATTTTCTTTTTTTAAATAAAAACTAAAAAGTCACTTAAATTAAATCGATCCGATACAGATACTCAAGACACGCTCGACCATTCACATTTACACACGCAGAGTATTGAAAATAGCATGGGCCGCGAGACGTACATACGATACATACATAACGTGCTGGCAGACCGTTTAGCATTCGGTCAAGCGACGTAAAAATAGAAAGACGCGCGCTCTGCATGTGACTTCGTATAATTAGGCACCGAAGAGAAGTTGTGTCCTATGTTCTTCCATACGTTACAAGCGCAGTCTATTATAGAGAGTCTAACGACGGGTATCCATTTTTTTTCTCTTTCGAAGGCAGTAAATGGGTTTATAAACTTCTCCCAAACGAGAATTACGTAAACTCCATCCACATATAAGCGTACGCATAAATACAAATATCTAAAAAAGTTTTTTGAAGAGTAATTTAGTTAACAATCAATTTAGAAAAAATCAATTATTAATAAGTAGTTTTCTTGCAGATAAATTTATTAAACATTTTTCCATTACTATACCATTTAAAAATGTATGAAGATAGAAAAAATTGTACAAAACTCGTATTTTATCTCGTCGGTATTATTATAATAACTTAATATTGTCTATAACAATCAAAGCTGTACAATTTACTTGGTCTCATGGATTGTGACAATAATGTGGAATGTATATTAGGATCAACCTTAGATTCACTTTCCACAATCGGGAAATGCTGCACTCGTCCACTGCTCCAAGCTATTGTTAAACAAATCCATGACGAAGATTTTTGAAAGAAATTGATGCAGTTTGGCACTTCTCCAGTAAATCCTTTAATAAGGCAGCTTGCCTGTGCTTCCACTATTCGCGATAAATGACTTAAGCTTGTTTTGACCAGAGCAATAACTGGACTGTCCTGTTGAAGAAACAAATTAACACAAAATGTTCCATAAGATATTTCATAAGTTATTTATTTGTTTCTTCTGCCTAAAGTTTGAGCGCATACCTATTTTATTTTATAAATAAAAATGCATAAAGAAGTACAGCTAAATCTAAATATTTGTTCACAAACCTGAAAAAGAATAGCAAGATATTTTCCTGTCGGATCCCATTCCATAGAAACAATTCTACCTCCCACCGTGACATAATCATCATTATCCTCTGATGAGAAATTCACTTTTGTTAAATCGATTAGGCGCGTAGCTATTTTTATATCGTTATTATTTGCTTTTTTAACATCGAATATATTATTCTGCAGTGGCAATGAAAATATCGTAGAAGGATCTTCGGTAGTAGCAAAGAGTAACGTTAAATTGGGACCAAAACATGCAGTTGCTACACGACCTTGGGGTACAGTCCATCTTTCTGCATGCCATGTCGTCGGAACGCCAGTATTCCAAACTCTAGAATTAAATATTTACTTCTTTAACTGCATATCTAATTGAGTTCGCTGTAAAAAAAGATGTATACAGATTTAAAAGTATTACCTGAAGATCTTTCTGCATGAAGCAGAGAATAATCGCAAGCCACAAGTCGACCAACATGAAAAGCATATACCACCTCCACCAATACGTTTTAGCGGAATTCCTTCCTCTTTAGAAACATTCCAGATTATTATATTTAAATCCGTTGGTGAGCAAGACGCCAACAAGTCACCCTAGCAAAAAAAACCTTTTTAATAGTATCTGGGGATAATTTTCATTATATTTAATTAATATAGACAAAAATAAAAGAATAGATTACTTGTGGATGCCATGCGACACTTGTGACGGGAACATGATTTCTTTGATTCAAAAGTACTGCATGGCTAAGTAAATTACTAGCTGCTCCTAATTCTATTGTCCAAATTAATACTCCGGAGTAACAAGCCACTGCTAATTCGCGACCGGCATGAGGTCTCCAACTTAAACAGCAGACTGACTTTTGCCCACTATGTCTCAATACTGGCACGCCTAATAGACCTTGTGAAAAAATACGAATTCTATCGTCTCTCATAGCCACAGCCAGGCGAGCGCAGTGTGGATGCCAGGATAAACATCGTACCTATCATAAATACTTATAAGCAAATTTCAAAAGTTATATATTTATTCTTAATATTAAATGATCCTACCAGCGATGTATGCCAATCTCGTGTAGCAACAATGTCAGCAACAGATCCATTTCCCGACGTTGGCAACACGTCTCTGTGATATATTCCTCTATCCATTAAATCCAATATCGAATTTAATCTGAAATCATTAAATATTTTCTATCACAATATGAAAATGCATCAACTTTCCGGAGCTAACACCAAAATCTCTCTCTCTCTCTGTAACAGTTATAAATATGCTGAATTTATAAAAGTTATGTTTGAATTTATGTTAATTAAAATTGGCATTAATTAATTTCAAAGTATCAAAATAACAATGCGTATAAAAAAGAATTAATATTAAACATATTTTAATAAAATAAAAATGTAAGATAAAGAAAATTAAATTGAGAAAAAGATTTATAATTGTTCTGGTGAATTTTGCTCAGAATTTCTGAATAATTTTCTCATATTTTTTTATACAAATTGGAATACTTTTTAAAAATATCAAGAAAGCTTACATCTTTTCTAAAATTCATCATATTTATGAATTCTAAAACATTCTACGATTTCTAAGATTTTTCATTTTATAATCTCTGATAAAACCTTATAAAATCTAAAAACGATTGATATTTTTTCAGGAATTATAGACTAAGAAATTTTAGAAATCTTGTATTTAAAAATGCACACATAAAAATAATTCTAAGAAAAAATGTAGATTTATTCAATATTTCTGGAAAATGTTCCAACTCGTATAAGAATTCTGAGAGAAATTTTCACTAGATTGAGTAGATTCATATCATCTAAAGAATTAAGTTTAGGAATGTAATAAAAACTGAAATATTATACCTTGTTGCAATCCAATGCACAACATTTGTGATCTGTTTTGGATCTGCAGCAGCAGCAAAGCGAATAGCCTCAGATAACCCTCTTTCTCTCCATACATTGGCAATCTTTTTAAAAATACTATCGTGAACGGGAAGAAACAATTCACCAGCGCTGATCGTACGTGCAGTTTCACGGGTCGCAAGGATCTCCTGTGTGATGGAAACCTCAGGGTAGTCACGCAGGTACTTGGCAAAAGGTTGCATCTCGTCCTGTAGCGCATCGTAGGTACAATAATGAACGACGCCCTCGATCAAGCCGACGGCAGCCACATCGCCAAAAGCGGGACCTTCGAAATCGTGAAGCGACAATATCTTGAGCATCTTCCTCTCCTATCAGTCGTCACTGCGATCTAACCTATACGTTTAACCTGTAAAACAACAATAATTACTGAGAACCTTGTTTTTTCCAATTATTTACATAAACATATTATAATGTAAATAGGGACAGTTTTTTCGTTACCGCAAAAAAATGTAGCACCTTAAATATAGAAATCTTGAAATATTTATTCATCTTTAACCTAACCTCGCATGACGTACGTAACCTATCTTCGGTCGAGCAGCCAAAGTAGATAACAGAAAACATTTTAAACATTTCACACGAGAAATATATCTATAATTTCAATTAATTATATTCACATGACAAACTTTTTTCAGTCATAAAGACGAAAAACGAAAGTATTACCAATTTATGATTGTAAACTCGATATCGTTTGTTACATCATATTCAACGACATTAGATTTTAATTTTAGCGTCGTATTTAACTTCAATAAATTATACATCACACTTATAACAAGGTTATAAAAAAGGGAAAAAAGTAAATTCAATATTTCTACGTACAAAAGATACTAATAAGTCGTACTAATTCATCAGTTATTTCCTTTTTTCTCGGAAACAATGCACAAGTTTGACGTAAAATCCGTTTAACTTAGCTCAAATTCAAGTGGAAATTATATATTATGTTTACATATTTCGTTCACACGTGCGTGAAACAGCGCGTCTCGAATAAACAAAGTAAATGACCTGAAGATAGTCGAGGGAAGAATGCAATGACGGCGAGAAGCGCAAGAAACTTCAGAAACCTGAAAAAAGCCGCGAATGCGGCGAATCGCTGCGATTATCGCAATCAGTCGAGAAAAATGGCGCGTCGTTATTTACGTCAGTTGCCATGGCGACAGCCAATCGCGACGTGTGACGATGAAGGCGCATGCGTGTCGCGCGCGAAACAAGCAGTTCAAATCTCCGAGGAAGTCGTAGACTGTGGAGTTATAATCGGCTCTATTCGGTGCTTGGAATTCGACAAAATTCATCGCGAAGACTCGTTTCACAAACGCGATTGCGAGACGGGCACGACGCAGCTGCACTGCAATTTATATCCATTCGGAGATCTCATCGAAGAATCGAAACAACCGGCATTGCGGCGGCGCGTACAGGTTACGCGAGGCACATCTGCACTTTCTGTACCCGTTTGCTAACGACCGCCTGTCCCTCTCGTCGCGTCGAGAGAATTGGAATAAAAACGTCAGGTACGTGTTGTGCTGGGAATTCTTCTAAATTGTTTACATTTAAAACGAATAAATATATATTCGGGGGTTGAAAAGACAGAACGCGAAGATTTTGAGTGCAAAAGATGCAAGCAACGCAAACAGGCCTATGTATGTACCACATCGAGTGCTTTTCATTTAGTGTCGTTCAATATGAAGGAAAACAGAACGATACTGTCGACTCATGAGTCGTATCATCAAAGCACGGAAAATATCCATCGTCTTTCTCTGTACGCAGAAGGTGCAGCTGGGTGCAACAAAACGCGGTCGAGAGGAGCAGTCTGGAGGAGTCTATCGGCTCATCACGGCGACGGTCATTCCGGAGGAGGGAGAACCTTCGTGAAGAAGAGAGAGGGAGTGAGGAAGAACGGTGCGAGGTGGTGGGTGGTGGAGCATCCGCAAGGGTGAAGTGGGGTGAGGTGAGGTCTGCAGTGTGCGGTCGCCGTTCGAGCGGCATGGATTACATATTAGAATTGCTCGCGTAACGATAGAGAGACCGAGAAACTTTGCTATTTCGCGAAAGCAGTATTCTGCGCCTTATACATTTTAACACGTCTAGTCGAACGAACGAACGAACGAACGAAGTAAGTGATCCGTAAGGTTCATAGGACCGTGGGCCTTTTTAACCCTTCCCCTCCCTCTTCCCATTCCTCCCTCCAACGATCGACGAGCAAACGAGCGACGGCGATCCTCGCCATGCTACCGATGAGGTAGTGCGCGAACCGTGTCCAAGAGAATGTATCGTGCAATGATGATCGCGGAGCATCGAGGGTTATTAACATCCTAAAAGGGAAGAAGAGGAAGAAACGAACGAGGCAGATCAAAAGAGGAAAATCATCGCGGCGCAAGACGAGGCATAGAGCGAAAGAAGAAGTGGTTGCGACCGGTGGTGGTAGTAGTGCGGGCGACCACGAGAGATGGGCAAGAAGGGTTCCAAGCGGAAGACCCGATGGAGAACTCTGAGCATTGGTGGTGAGTAATATTTCCACCTTCCGTCTGCTTCTCTACCTTCGAAGGTTGCATGTTTAGTCTCTGTCTTCTCATTCGTTCCAGTGACAGTGCTCCGCCTCCTCGCGTAATCTCGCGGAACGCTTTCCTCGCGAAGCGGGCGATTCCGCGGCGCGAGTGCCGCGAAGCGTGCGACCGGTCATCGATCAACAGCGCGCGCGCGCGCGCGCGCGAGAGAGAGAGAGAGAGAGAGAAAGAGGGGAAGGGAAGAGAGGGAAAGAAAGAGGAGACAACGTTATCGCGTTATCGCGAGGAGATTCTCTGGGTCTCTTCTCTTCCTCCTTTTCTATCATCTTCAGGGTACCGATCATGTAATTTATTCCCTACGGCGGAAACGTGAACAATTTCTTATGAAGTCTGAGATATAATTGAAGGTACAGACAATGGGACAGCGGATCGATCAGATCTTTCTCTAGACGGAAATGTGAAAAAAAGTGAAAATTTTTTTTACGTATATGTACATACGTACATAAAAATTTTCACTTTTCACGCTTCAGAGAAGTTACATGATCGATACTCAGGGAATAATAGAGATTCCAACCTCTATATTAGAATAAACGATTTCTAATAGGTTGAACAATACTAATACTATATTATTTTTAATTTCTATTGCCTGTTATTACGTCTCAGGGGATTGATTATATATGGAAATGTAAGGTGGAAATGTAAGGTGAAAATGACAAAAGAACAAAATTCACTAGGGATAGACTGATAAAATTAAAAAATGTCCTAATAAATTTATTCACTTCTGTAATTTTCCATCTCGTTTCGAGATATACGACTTCCAAAAGGTCAATTGTGTATCTCAAAACATCTGGAGGGTTTGATTGTGTACCTTGAAATGAAATGAAATTGACAAAAATGAGCAAAATTCACTAAGTTGATCAATGAAGTTATAAATATTGTACCGAATTTGCTCACTTTTGTGACTTTCCACTTCGTTTCAAGATATACAATTGACCTTCAGGCTTAACTTCAATGATAAAGAAAAATTTTCATTTCGGAAGAAATTACATAATCATTTCCCAGATTTGTTTTTCGTCTCGTGTTTCTTCCACCTTCCTCATGGACGAACCGAGCCCTCGAAGAGGAGAGGAAAAATAAGAACGACTTGCTATTCTTGTAAACAATAAGCCGAGAGCGTGATGAGAATTTCATGATCATGCCGCGTGAATCGGTCTCCTCGATCGATCGTAGTAAAGTTACTGTAAGTAGAATAGTTCATCCCGTCCTTCTATAAGTAGAATATTTTATTTCATTCTCATCCTGATCATGTGGAACATCCGAGAGATCTCTTTCTGGGCTGGATGTTTTCGTAGGCCAGAGATTGCGAAACCAAATTGCCCTCCTCTTTTCCCTTCATGTCTGTGTAGTCTTCGTGTAAAAAGGAGATAAAAAATGAACGTCACGGCTGTAGAATAACAAACAAGGACATTAGTCTCTAGAACTCGAGGACTCTGTACTACGCGACTTGCGTACATTCTCAATTTTGATAACGTGTCTGTTTATTTAATCTAGTTGCGCGAATAGTCGAAACTCTTTTCGAGTAACTTAAGTTGAACTGGATTTACTTAATGCGATGTCGAATTTTCGGCTCATGAAAGCACCGGATAGAGGATTCTATAATCGCGACGATTATCTAATCGCGAGAAGTCACGGCTTCTTGGAAAGCTCACATGAATTCTAGCTCTTACTGTTTATTCCTAAAACCTTATGTCCACGATGCTAGAAATAATTCGAGACCTCAGACGAAGAAATAATTAACCTATCGCATTGTATCCAGCAAGAAGTAAAAATTTCCAGCATCATGGATGAAGCTTAAGACTGAACTTTTGACTTGCAAAAGCAACATTGTGTAGCTGCATTGAAAAAAATTTTTTATTAAAAATGAACAAACCAAATATTTTGATTATGTCAATCAGAATTTTGGTTATCGCAACTACAAGTAGATTTAACTTACATAGTAGATAATCAGAAATTTTTGTTTATTTATTTTTAACCAGAATTCCAATTAGTGCAATTAGACTCTTTTTCACGCAACCATTTATTGGAACGAAGATTATTCCTATTATTTCTATTATTATACTTTATTATATATACTTTATTATATATATTTTATTATATATATTTTATTATGTATATTTTTATTATTATATATATTTTTATTATTATTCTCATGAAAGCTTATATACATGTTCGAAGTAATTAAAGGTAATCGAAGATTTATCTTTTGCAAAGAAAAACAGAATTTAAACTCGCGCTTTGTTTGCATACGTTTATAAGATTCGATTCGATTAACATCAGTTATGTTCATTTCCACCAATATAAATTAATTTCAACCTCGATTTTACTTACTTTTTAGCATAACAATAATAATCAATTCAAGGCTAATAAGAGTCAGCGCGGGAGAAGATGCGCAATATTAATGATGACTTAACTCCAGTTTTTGTGATGTCATCTTTATTCAAAATATTGATTGTCAATACTTTGAATAAAGAAGACAATTAATTTAATTAGTTATTATTGTTATTTTAAGAAGTGAGAATCTTGCGCGCGCGCTGAAATATTCTTTTGTTTACATTTTAACTTTTTCTAAATCTTAGAATTAAAAAAAAGTACAAAGTTAAAATGAAGTTAAGTTTCTATCTAAACTGATAGAAATGATTAGTTTAGTTAATCGCAGTCAACTGGATTATCTACAATATCTATATTATAGTGAGTAATATGGCTTGGAAAGAGAATGAATAAATAATCAGTTAAACACGGTGAGAGTGAATCAACATCAACAGAATTAATTCCAATCACAACAATAGATCTCTCGAATCATGTCTCTGTCGTCCGATTTCGCGCAAAAAGCCGAAGGTTTTTCGAGAAATTCGACGCGAAACACTCGAAGTGTTGATCGTTATCGACAGCTAAACTTTCTATTCTGAAAACAAAGAAAAAAGATTCCGAATTTACGCGATCCGGATCTGCGCACGTACATGCCTAACTGCAACAATAGAAGTGTCTATCTCGGAATCTTGTGCGAAGAATCGGAGCTTTATACGAAGAAACTCGCGAGGCATTCATCGTTATCATAAGTTATCCAATTTGTTCATTCTGCCAGAACGTCGAGTCTCCGGAAAGACTTTAATCGCGGTGATTTCCGAATCTCGCGCGAAGAACTGGAGCTTTTTCGAGCGAGGAAAGAGTTAGAAGCTCGAGATATTCGAGTAATTTACTAAAGCGACAACTAAAATTCTTCTTTTCTAAATTCTTTCTACGACGGTCGAGGGAATTTCCGTCAAGAAGTTGCCTGAACCTTTCGAGAGAATTTCGATACGGCATTAGCTGTTACCAATTTCATCCTTGGGGAGAGTTTACTGAGTTTCACTTGTCTTACAACTTCATGTGATATATACGTTAACACTTAGATATTATAGAAACA